AGCCCATCGATACCGGGGACCCGAACTTTATGGCTCTACTTTTCGTTTTTGCGCCTTACAGCTACCATACGCCACTGAACTAGAAGGCACATCTGCTAGGATTGCTTGCGTCCTTTCTTTGACCCTCTTTCTTAAAGTATGTTGCCATACGTGAGACTACAACTCAGAGCCACACGTGGAGTCTGAGCTAACAGGAAGCAGTAGCTCGTTTTATTTCGCAGCGGGAGATCCGAACATATTGATACCTTGGTGCCGCCGTACGGCTCACCTTAACGGCTCGTCGTTTTTGAAAGGGTGACAGAAGAGAGGCGAGCAAGACGAGCGGAATAGGTCAAGCCTGGCTTGTTTCTGGAGCCAGTTGCTGTGGTTCTCGTTACGATTCCCATCCCTTTGTCATCCCAAAGCATGTCTGACGCCTATTTAACCGACCCCGAAAGTGTCTGCGATATCGTTGTGTGAAAACGGACTCAACTCAAAGTTGAGACCATCGTCAGTTAAGCATCTCTGGAATCTCTAAAAGGAGCACTAATCGTCCCGAGAACATTACCAACGTAATCGGCTCAGTCCTGCACCCGTCGTGGCGCTGATGAATGCAGTCCAGCGCTTGCTCGGTCAGTCGCCGCGTTTTAGTCGTAATGTTTGAGTTCGGAAGCAGCCGCATCTTCATTCACTGTGACTAATCAGCTTAAAACCGCAGAGGACAAGTCACGACGAAAATGTTCGCCGAGAAAGCATGACCTATAGTGGCATCAGCTGCTGCAGGTGATGCTTCCACTTCTCGCGTCTTGAGAATCATCCTCATCATTCCTTTCCTAGAGGTATTTCCTCGGAGAAGCTTTTGCATTCAATTACGTACAGGAGTGCATCATGGTCATATTCCTTTTGTGAAGCTCTTATGCTTCTTCTGTACCTTGATCGCTTGGTCCCTCTGATTTTACTGTCAACAGGCCTGTCACCTCGTGCTTCCGTCGTCCACCTTTCTGCGCTGCTAATCAGCGAGCTAAATGGACAAACGAGCGTTGGGTACACAGTATCTGCTGGGCTCTTTGTTGAGTAGCCAGACCTATTGCCTTCTGACGTCACACCTATTTCGAAAGTAATCTGAACGAAAGTAATCTTTGAATAATTCGCGACTTTTCGAAATTCCCTTTATTGTTCAACAAATCACGGAAATTTTTAGAGTATCAATAGCTCCTAACGGCGCAGTTTATCGACCGGGGGGGGGGGGGGGCATTTTGCTTTCCATAGATGTGTCGACCCATCTAGGTAGCCGTTTCTCGAGTTGACACGTTTTAGGATAGTGGCTAGACGATCTTACTTCAGCTTCACAAGAGTTCACAAGTTTTACCAGAGTGAGGGGAGGCAGTGATAGTACAAAATGCCCCCCCGTGGATAAACTGCGCCGCTCCTAATTCCATATCTGTCTGTCTTTATGGAATTTCCCATTTTCTTCTCTCTTTCGCATGTGCCGATTATTGTTTCGTTTTACACTTGCTCTCACTTTCGTCTTCCATTCCCCCCGAACTGTTCCTCGTGTGTCAGTTTCAGTTGATTTTCATCTTCCATTCCCCCGAACTGTTCCTTCGAGTGTCAGTTTCAACGGTCGAAATTTCCTAGCAACGAGCGTCACGTGAGCGTTTATACTTTTCCTGAAAGTGAAACTGGAAGTTGAAGGAAAAACTGAGCGAATAAGCTGGTAACTATCCCTAGGAACTTGCACCGGCAGTGGTGACAAGGGTATCCGGTCCCTTCGAGGATGACGAGCTTATTAAACGTTCCTCATAGGTCAGGAAAAGTTCAGGCTGTATCACCTTAGGCGCGATTATGTTTCCACACCGGACTGTGCTGATCGAGTGAGACCAGATGCTCCTGATTGTCCCTTTTTGCTACTTTTGTAGTAGTGTTTTTTTAAGTTGTTGTGGCTAGTATTAGGGGGTTCCAGATATTAATTCCGATCATTCCCATCATCCTCTCTAAGTGGTGAGTCCGCCAGAACTCAATAAGGTTTTTCCATTCCGCCTTGTACAGGGATCCGTCTTGTACCCGATTTTCGGGTTATGGGGCACACTCGTGTGTAAGCCGCACTTCTGCATCAAAAACTGCGGATCTTTTTATAGCTTTCTTTCTCGCGTTTTATGTTTATTCTTATATTTTTCTTATGTGACCAAAATTTATCGAAAGAGCTGTTAGAAATTAATCAAAAATAAGAATATGCAAAACAAAAAAGGTGAAAGTCTTCATGCGAGTTGTCGCGTGCCTCGATGTGACATTGTGAATAATTGCGCCTCATATCGCAGGAAATAGGGTGAATCAATCATTCTTCATAGCTTGAAAACAAAAAAGACATACCTCTCAGAACGAGACGTTTTTGCCACAATTGAGGATGGAAATACCAAAGGAGCTCAGGAGGCAGAAAAGCCTAAATAAACTGCGTCTTATTTTGATTCAAACCGCAGGAACGATGGAGTCTTACTCTCCTGCTAGTTCATTACGAAGAATTAGAGCTCGCTAGGGCGATACTTCAATAAGGAAGCGAGATCAGCTCTCCTTTCGTATTTGCATAGAGATCACATCAGCGTTGAAATCACTCCATTGTTCTAGTGCGTGGCGTCATCCAAATATCGATCAATACTTTCATACTTCATTTGTCTCTGGTCTTCTTGAACACCATGTGTTACTACATTTATCTCTGGTCTTCTTGAACACCATGTCTTACTATTCGGGCTTTTTCTTATGCTCAGGAAAATTCGCTCATAACTCTGTCAATCAGAAACATCTCCTATACTGTATATCCCGGAGATGGAGAGGGCGTGTACTTTGAACATTGTACAAGATGTGTTTGTACTTTGAACATTGTACAAGATGTGTTTCGGTGGGACCTTCCCATTTGAGGCAATTGTAATCCTGTCTCATGGTGGACAAAGACATGATTACAAATGTACCAAAATGGAAAATATCTGATCGGAAGCGCAACCGCTACCATTATTTGAATAAAGCACGCCCTCCTCCATCTCAGGTATATGGAGTGTGCATCGTTCCGGATCCTGTAAAACTTTGATTGTGCAACGTTTTTAATAGCTCTTACAAGGGAGGTCTTTCAGGTCGTGGCGCGCTTTTCGGAAATGATTTGTTGCATGTTGTAGAGGTCCGAATAAGGATCACAAAAATGGGTTTCATTTTTGCTATGCGTTTCTGGGTAGGTCAAAAACTGAGTGCAAAGTTTGCTGGGGAGAAGCGATTTTGAACCATTTTTCCGAGGCTTTTTCTATTCATAATGTTAAGTATGCATAGCAGATGAGACCTTCGTCGACACTGCATCGAAAACAATAAAAAAGTACTTTATTTGGCACATAGTGAGGCAGCATTGTAGTTTCTCAAGAGATTCTCGCAGCATCCCAACCCGCAGCTGGCGTGAGGGGGTGTTCAGAGCCATGTTGGCGCCAAATGACCTAGACGCCAATTTTAAAGGTCAGAATCGTCATCAGGGCCATTAATAACCTCTATATACAGACTTTCAGCAAAAATTTTCTCCTCGAGATGAGCGCTTAACAGCCCCTGCGTGCGGGTTGGCAACAATTCAGTGGAAGAATGCTCTTGCAGCAAGTCGGCGCTAGGCTGCGCCGTGGTCAAAAATGGGTGTCGTAAATCCAAAACCGAAAAACGTATAAAGTATCCGAAAAATGCAAAGAGTTAGTCGCCAAGGGGATCCGATCCAAGAACCTTCTTCGCGAGAGCCCACCGCACTATCCACTCCGCCATCCGACCGCGAACAGCGGTTGCGAGAATCGTTCAAGTAACTTCGGTATTACTCCCCTCCGTCCACTTTCTTATTGGCTTTACTTTGCTATCTTTTCAATACATAGTGAAGGGACACCTCATGAATTATGCACTGTCAAAGTTACAGCTACAACAGAGCCCATTAACACGGTTAAAATCGCGATTTCTCGTCAAATTGTTTTCACTCAGTTTTTGACCTCCCCAGAAACGCATAGCAAAAATGAAACCCATTTTTGTAAACCTTGCATGGACCCCTACAACAAGCAACAAACCATTTTAAAAACGCGCCACGACCTGAAAGACCTCCCTTGTTAGTCGCGTTTATTTGCAGATTTCCATGAAATTGACGCAAAGCTGAGACCAAAACCCGAAGGAACAATTAGATGTCACAGGTGGGCCATTCAAACTGATTGATCGCTATGATTCCTTACTTCCTGTAATGAGATAATTCTCACCTTTCTAAATGTGAACATTGATTTCATAAAGAAATAACTTTTTAGTATTCTCGTCGCTCTTTGGCGACTGCTTTTTTCGTCACTCTCAGTTGGTTACCATCGGTCATCGTCGGGTTCCAGGACTTTCAAAATTCTATTAACCAACAAACCACCAGATCAGATCATGCCCCCATCTTACAGGTAACCCATATCTTTGCAAATGTGGTTGAATATTTTGTCGTTGCGAAAGGCAACTGGTGGGGGCAATGGAGCTTCTGCGTTATTGTAGATGTCAACAAGATGTCAACGAACTAACAGAAACGGTCCGATAAGGGCCAGGGGCGGATGTCATTTTCCTTGTCCTCATGCCTATCTGGGGATAAACAGAATAATGCTGCAAATTGGCTTGTCCTTCTAAACCACTGCTATTTCCGATAGTTGGAAACAGTGTTTTCTTGATGGTGGTGGTGATCTCCCCACCCCACTCCGACTCGATCCGGCAGAGCGTTTGAGGAAATAAGGGAAACTTTTTGAAAGATTTGGAAAAAAAATAGCAGGGGATGGTCAAAGTTAGCTAGATGGTTGAGAAAGAATAGAGAAGAGGGTCGTGCCAGAGGAGAAAGTTCCAGGGGGTGGGGGGGGGGGAAGTTGTATTTCTACAGATATTTTCCAAATGGGAGGAAGTGCCCTGTTCAGTATGCATCCTAATGGGACGTACTGACTGTGTAGTACCAGTAGTGCTCTGAGTTGCTGTTGCCAGGGAAGTGACATTTAATGTGTGCGGCAATTTTGCAGATCTCTTCTCGAGAAGGTTACGTGTCAGAAACGGCCGTTGTTGGAACGACGATCAGAGTGTCACCGAACCCTCAGGCGGAGTCATTGCAGATCTTAGTCAGCGATGAGGATTTGGTACGTTCTTTAGCACTTAGTTTTTATCCACAACAAAGGTCTGTCCGTTTTTGAGAGGGGTGAATATTTTTCTTGCAAAAATCGTGTTGCGCTTATCTTAGTACAGATATCCCTTCACTTCTTATAGGTTACATCCTGTCAACTAAGTGATCTGATAATGTTTCAGCGGCCTGGAATGCCACCAGCCACCTACCAGTACATCCTTACTGGCTCGGGTGCAACCATATTTGCCGTTGACCAAAGGGGATTTCTCTACTTGAATACTCCCACAATCGATGCCGATCCACCGAATCCTTCGTCGTATCAAATACATGTATGTTTATTTTCAAATTTTACGATACGAAGCAAGGAGCGATAGTTACGTCGCTTTGTGAAGGGCCTGATAGCTTTACTCCGAGAGGTTTGAGCCGTTGGACTGCTGCAACTACAGAAACCATCACTTCCAGGAGAGAACTTGGTTTCAACCGTTGCAGCGGGCCGCAGTTGGCTGAATAGCGCGGTTCGTGCGACTACATAAGTCGAGTAGCGAACTATGAACGCGACCATATTCAGTTTACAATTGGGTCGGCACATAAGTAATGGCTTCTTTTTTCTCAAAATATCGCGCTAGAGATGAAAAGTTTTGCCACTGAGTTTCACCCTGTTTTGCAGCGAATTCTTGCCCTATACAGCAGTTCTCTTATTTTTTTAGAATTTTCTTTTTCTACTAACCTCGAATGCTCAAATTGGAGTGTTAGGTCGAAGAAATTGAGCATTTCCGCTGGCCTCTCTTTTCTACTTCTAATTAAAAAGCTAAAACCGCACCGGCATGGTTGCTGAGTATTTGGCCGATAAGCTGCCTGTTTTACGAAGACGTAAAAAAGTAAAAGTTAAAATGATTCAAAAATTCCAATTTCGCAAACAAGCATCGAACCTAATGCCATATTGTATCCCGCTAAGAGCTTACTGAATCACCTTGTTCATGGAGATTCATACCATGGTTGGGGAATCGTTAAAGGTCACGGAATGCTTCCTCATCATAGTCAAGCATTACACGCAGTTGATGCTAGACGTTCAAAAGTTAGTGAATAGGTTCTGCAGGCAGTTGGTATGGAAGAGGGCCTCCCATGCAGTGCACATTTACAAAGTCCGAATTCCCGCTCGATCGCGTGAAGCAAATTCAAGCAGTCATGAGAAGCACCTTCTCTTGGTTCTATTTATCACAAGTTCTGAGCTTCTCCTGGGATTTTAGAGCCGAGATAAAGTGCCAAAAGTTGTTATTAAAAACGTTTTTGTGCCAACCCGACACTCCATTTCAGTGGAACAAGTATTGACAGAAATTGAGAAATACTAGGAAGACAACCATACTAAATTACAGAGCGGAAAGTTATCTATCGAAAAGCATAGAAAACATTGGGGAAGATTCTCACTTTTCATATAAAAATTTGAATAATAAAAAAGGCCATTTTTCATGGGCCAGTCCAATACTTTGGAGCATGACTTGGGCTTATTCGCAGCGGCTCCGTTACTCCTTTCAGTCCATGAGTAATTTTGTCTCAGGTACAAGCACGGGAGGTAGATACAGTGCCGATTCGGAGCAGCGAGCCGGTGACGATCACCATTCATGTCATCGACGCCAACGACAATCCACCGCAGTTCGAGCTGCCTATCTACACCGTCAACGTCACGTCCTTCGGTGATGAGAGACCTGTCGTCAAGGTGAGCTCTATTTTTCAGGCTAGAGGCATGATAAATGATAAAATGAATGAGTCAAGCTACGTATGTGACTCCCGCAAGCATAAAGCGCTCGATAATAATTGACCAGATATACGGGCTCAAAAGTAAAGGAAATGTACCATCAAAGGGTTTTCCGTGGACTGCTCTGAAAGGGCATGGATCAGCTTTACAGAACGAATTAGCTCCCTTCTCCCCCTTCCCGTGTGGAGGTTGTTCCCGTGTGGCGAAGTTCATCGTAATCATGTGGCAGAACCCGGCCCATCACTGTGCTCAACAACTTGTTCCCTTTTCTAATAGAAATATACGATAATGTGGGGAACACGCAACAGAGGTGGGCACTGAGGCTGGCCCTGCTGCTCGCGTATGATGGACTTGACCTCAAGGAACTAAGCAGCAGCAAGCAGTTGTCACCTTATATTGTGAGGTCTCAATAACCTTGAGTAGCTAGCCAAAGTCAAGCCCATGCGGCACGTAGGGCAATCATCACCTCTCCACCCTTGAATACAACTCGATACATGTAGTGGGGTAGTGGCGTTGAACTAAAAACCTTATAGTCGCCGAATGTCTCTACAAGGAAGAAAAGGAGCAAGAAAAATAATGGTAAGTAAATTGAG